TTTTTTTTTTTTTTTTTTTTTGTAAATTAGAAAATATCAAATTAGTCCATAAAATTAAAATTGACAAATTTATATGACATTTTGTAAGAATTGAAGAATTGAAGGACTAAAGTTGTAATTAATTGAAGTTAAGAAGCGTCCCGAAAAAGGCGGTAATATTCTAGAAACCTCGCCATTGTACTGGAAGAGAACCTCCATTACTAGAACCTTCTTTCCCCTTCCCCAAGCTTCTTCTTCTTCTATAAAACCCCAACTTCTCATTCCCTAACCAATGAATCGCTCCCATTAGTCTCTGAATTACAAGCTTTTCCAAAATCTACATCAATGGCTTCTTCGATCGCTCTCCGAAGGCTCGCTGCTAACTCCGCCGCTAAGCTCTTCAATCCTGTTCGCTCAGCTTCTGTTCTCCCATCTGTCGGTCGTTCGTTCAACACTAATGCTCAGATGACCAGCTACAATGACGACGAACGCTCTGTTGATGTGGACCGCCGCTCTGACCGCTCTCTCTCTCGTTCTTATGATCGCTTTCCTGGTTTCGCAGGTAGTTGTTATCTTTGTCCTTGTTAGAGCTTTGAACTCGTGGTTTGTTCATTGATTGTGATGCTTCTGTATTGTTCTGGAGTTTTCAACTACGTTTTCGTGAGTGTTTTGTTGTTTGTTTGTTTAATTTGATTGCATTTGTGGAAATGGTTGTGGAACTTCCAAGTGGAATTGAAGATTACATGTTGTGAAAGCATAGCTAACCTATTCCGTTGGTCTTTGAGGAATGTCGCGATGAAATCGTCTATGAATTGGTAGTCTTTTAGTGACGACCTTGCTTGCTTGTACATGACGAATCTTGCGGAGATTGCTCTGCTCGACGAATTTCAGCTTGACAATTGTTATTGGTTGAGAAGTCTAGTGTAAACTTTCGTTTACTTGTTAAAGTCGTGGAACCATCTGGAACTGGTTGCGATCGAGTGAGAATGCTTGCTTTGGTCACTCTGCTTGCCTAGTCTCTGTCACGAAATGATCTTAAATTGGTTTGTGTTTCAGATAGGATCTTGTTTATTTTGAATGTTGGCATGTCCTCTTCGGAATGAATCTTGTTTTAGTGATGGCAGATCCTTCTTTACTTTCTAAGTCTTATCTCGTGTTCGTAGCGAATCTCGACTGGATGAATATCGCCATGTAGTGATGCATCTGTTGTAGTTTAGTTATTTGTTAGTGGAGAACTCTTGTCCTGAACAATCCTTGGTTGTCGATTTACAGACGTGTTCGATCCGTTTTCTCCGACACGAAGCCTAAGTCAGGTTCTGAATCTGATGGATCAGTTCATGGAAGATCCATTACTGGCAGCTTCACGAGGAGTAGGAGCAGGATCCAGGAGGGGATGGGACGTGAGAGAAGACGACGACGCTCTGTACCTGCGAATGGACATGCCTGGGCTGAGCAAAGAAGATGTGAAGGTGAGTGTGGAGCAGAACACTCTTATTATCAAAGGTGAGGCTGCGAAAGAATCCGAGGACGAATCTGATCGGAGACGATTCTCGAGCCGACTAGATTTGCCTGCTAACCTCTATGAACTGGATTCAATCAAAGCAGAGATGAAAAATGGAGTTCTGAAAGTAGCTGTGCCAAAGGTGAAAGAAGAAGAGAGGAAGGATGTGAAGCAAATTACTGTTTCGTAGTTCGACAAAGCCAGCAGACGAAAATGGTGACTACTACACTCTGTTGTTTTCACACTGTAGACTGTAGAATGTAGAGCTTTCTCTTTGCTTTTGCTTTGATCACTTTCATGGAGGTGTTTGTCGTAGCTGTCTGGATGTGGAGATTTTCAATATAATGTGTGAATTTCAAGCTGTTTTAATGAATCATTAGAGTCTATTTGAGGTTCAAGGAGAATTTGGTGGTATCTTTGAGGTTATTTTAGATGTTACGCAACGAAATTTCAGTTGATCAATTGTAGTTCCAACATAACATAATCTTGTGGTTCGAGTTAGATATATAAATACAATGATAACTTGAGTAAATGTGATACCTACGTAGATTATAATAAATAAATAAAAATCAATTTAAAAGCAATCGTTTGAATACTGATGGGAGAGGGATTGGGATTTTAGAGAATTGGAGTTGTAGGTTTGGGAATGGATACTATCTTCTTCGTGAATCTTGCCTTGGAATTTCACATTTCCTTTTACAACCACTTGTTTTTTTGTCACATCTATGGTGAACTCGACTAACTCTGCATATTAAGACAACAAAAAAAATATCTCTAAGTTCAAATTCACAAATTATAGACCATACTTTGATTTAATTTATATGACGAAACAGATAAATAGTTAATTGAAGAGACGGGATCAAAAAAATATACGAACCAGAGATTTTAGAGAGAAGTTGAGAAACTCTTTGGCGACACCCATTGCAACTCATATTTGCATTTATAACAATTACCTGAAACTACCAAACCAAAACCAAAAATTATAAATCTTTGAATGAAATATATAATATAATCTCACAAAAATACATATTATTCTAAGAAATTTACCAAAAAAAACAAGAACATATTTGAAAAATCTTACAGAAGGGGGCGTAAGATCCTCAGAAAACAACAAAGATTGCTCCATTCTTGGCTCTGTTCGTCAAAGTTCTTGACTTTCTCTCTCTATTTTCTCTCTCTTGTTAGGCAGCCATGGATGATGCTTCTGAACATTTCCATCTAAGTTCTTAGGCGGCTTATTAAATAGATCAATTCATCAATTTTTGGCCTAATTTAATCTTAGGGTTGGCATATTTGACTATTTTAATTCAACCCTTTCCAATGAATCTTTTCACATTCTCTCCATCTTTTATTATTATATATTCCGACTTTAGTTCGGGTTAATCCTATAAATCGGTAATCGGATTGGCAATTGGTATCGGGCTTTATTTGGGTTCAATTCCTTTCTTCCTACTCGAACCAACGTTGGATCAATTCTTTCGATGCTTGTTCAGAGTGGGGTCGATTTGTTTTTGGTCCATTACAAGCTTAGTTTGTAAACTTTTGGTTTAATGTTTAGTTATTTGGTCCAGAAACTTTGAATAATGTTCTAATAAATTTCTTAACTTTCAATTGTGTGTCTAATAAATTTTTGAAGTTTCAAATTATCCCGACATTTTCAACATTTTTTTGTTTGAAGTTCATGAATTTATTAATTATGAAAGTTGAAAATTTAGAATTCAAGGATATAATTGGTTTTTTTTACTCAATAAAAATAGGAATATATAAATGAATACCACATTTAAACAAGGGAGGGTAGTATAACTAAGAAAAACTTAAAACAATTGAAAGTTATTACCTATCCTAACAAGAAGCACCTTCCTATTCTGTGGTGGTTCGACCATATGAACTCCAAAATTAAGCGTGTCTTATTTGAAACAATTTTATATTGTGTTATTTTATGAAAATTTTCTTTGGAAATATGTGAGTCAGAATAAAATATATTGAAATTAGTCTTCATTCTTAAAAGCTAGACCTGAGTAACATGACCATGAGATACCAAATCTGGATTTCAAATCACGATCAGAATCTTGGACATTGGTTCAAATCATAATCCGAATATTGGGCATAGGTCGTTACACGTATATTATCCATCTCATTTATCCAGTAAAACGAGAGCAAATCGTAAAATATATCGTAAGATCCCACATCGATTAGAGAGGAGAACGAATCATTCTTTATAATGGTGTGAACCTCACTATAATGATGACTATGCATGACGGGCCAAAGCAGATAATATTTGCTAGTGGTTGGCTTGAGCGGTTATCTATGTTTTTTCTTTGCAAGTAACATGTATCTCTTATACATTTTCATATATTCAAATCGGTTAACAAAGTAACAAATTAACTATATATTTTTGTCAAAAAAATTTAAAAAATAAAATTTAATAATTTTTAATAATTTTTTTTTCATCTTTACCGTTACTAATACGTTTCAAAAATACTCATGAACTTTCAAAAATAACATTATAAAGTTTAGATATAATGTATGAGGTGTCAACAAATGAGTTTCGTCTATATATTGACGGTAATGATTTTTCTGAATATATTTTTACGAAGATAAAGGGTGTAAATATTAACGGATATTAGAACCGTTTGTGAATATTTTTATTAATTCGGACAAATTGGTATGTATGTTTAAGTTATGGCATCGTGGCTTCATGTTCTTATCATCCCTTCCTTATCAAGGCTCTATATTATTAATTATTTATTCAATGTTAAAAGAATAAAAAGGCATGAAATTAAAAAAAAAAAGAAAAAAGAAAAAAATGGAGGTATGGGTAATTAGATACTTTAATTAATTAATTAATTCATTAATTATTGGGATTGTTGCTCCCACCCACTATAGTTAGTTAATTTTTTTTAATATATGATGATGCATATCTTATATTAATTGAATTATGTTTATATCGGTAAATAACTTAGGCTATCAAATATATTTAATATGTTGCTTCAAGTAGAGATTAAATATCTCAATATTTAAGACATTAATAATAGAGATATCTTGAGAAATTACTAAGAAAAACGACAAATAGAGAGGGAGAGTTAGAGTCGGGTTTCTGCCTGGTTGTGGTTCAACATGTTGATGAGTCAGTCTGACTCGGGTGGAAGTACGATGTGTTTGAAAAGTTTGGGATTGTAAATGGATTTGAGTACCATGTGGATCATTGCTTTGTTATGCTCTTTTCTACCGGTTAAACTATTTTGAGCACTCTCTAAGACTACATAGCTCGAGTAAAGAGCTTACAGTTACAAAAATGGCAAAAAAATTACAGGTGACCGTTACAAGAATGGTAAACACGGTGTGATGTTATATTCTAATAAACTTAACACAAAGTATTGATAACTTGAACTCAAATATTAAATTTCTTATTTTTAAGAGACTTTAAAAAATTCGATGACTCGTAAAACCTAATTAACCTAATTCAATCCATACTCGAGTAAAAAACTTATTTGGGTTGGGTTGATTCAAATAAATGAATATTTTATAGATTAAGTTAGTTCATGTGTTCTCTTGAAATTAGACTGGATTGAATCGAATTTATTGTTTAATTTTAATAAATATATTTTTTCTTACCATATAAATATTAATTTTTAAATAACCTAACTTTTCAATCCTTTGGGATATCTTTGGATTTTTAATTTTCTAAATCCTTATAAATGTTTTTGGGATTAAAATTCTATACTTTTCAACTTGGACTTTGGGCCCAATCATTTGAATTGGGCTTTGGGCCTAACTCTTTTGGATATAGATTTTGGGTCTAATTATCTTTATAAATGTTTTTGAGATTAAAATTCAGGGCCCAAATATTTTAATTGGGCTTCATTCATTTTGAAACTTGTCCTTTAGAATTGGGCTTTGGGCCTAACTCTTTTGGATCTAGAATTTGGGCCTAATTATCCTTATAAAATGTTTTTGGGCCCAACCATTTGAATTGGGCTTCATTCATTTTAAAATTCTCTTTAGAATTGGGCTTGGGGCCTAATTAATCTTCAGTTCATTATATCTCTCTAGGCCCAATTTGATCACACTAGAATTACCATTATTTGATATAATTAAATAGATAGACTGGTTGAAAAGACGTAAAGGTAAGAAAATGTGGCATACGAGTAAATGAGGGATATATGAATGAACTAATACCACATCTGAATGAGAGCGGTCCTTAAACGTGCTTTACTTGGAGCAATTGTATGATGGGTGGCCGAATGAAATTATTCAACCATGTCGTAAAAGATCATTCTAAATCCCGAGCTTGGGTCGTGAACATAACGGGGAAAAGTGTAAACTTTATTTATTTTTTGTTTCTCTTTTTGAAATAAGCCAAAGAGCTTGTGCTTACAAATGGATGGGTGGGGAAGAGGACCACAAACCCACCCAACACCACAACATCTCTACACCCTTCTAAATATCATCTTCCATTTTTGAATCTTATTATATCAAATGTGATAATGACATTCATATTTTTTAATTGGAATTTTTCCCTCCTCGCTATAATTCGAAAACCCGAAACATTATTCGCCACTCCTCTCACAATTTAATGTGATTAAGTAATAATATAATGTTTGAGGTTTACCATGTTTTTGTTCGTTGTCAAAAGTGTCTATATTCACCCGATAAAATTTTGTTTCTATTGTTTTTTTTTTCTTCTTCTTAGTTGAACAAATTTGGAATGGAGAATCAAACTTTAGGTTTCGCCCCATGCGGAAAATTTGGACAAAGAATTAGAATTTATATTCGATACCTCGTGCCCCTCCCCCCCACCCCCGACATTTTCCTACCTCTCCTGTAAAGTGCTTCCTATAGTGAATATTATCCTGCGGATTATTCTTCTTTATATTTTGTTCTCACCCACGTGCTTTTTAGAATTTAAAAATTCAATAAAATTTTGTAAAAAAATAATTAAAAAAAAAAAACAAAGAATGAAAATAATTGTCAAAAAGAACCGGTGGTGAACTGACAATTGAGGCTGTTTTTTTAGATTTTGATTTGTACCCTAAGAATATATTAGAAAAAGGTGAAAAAAAAGTAATAATAATTTGGAAATAATAAAATCCCAAAAAAAAAAAAAAAAAAAAAAAAAAAAAAAAAAAAAAAAAAAAAAA